AATTCAATATCTTTTAGTAATTATAGGACTATTCAGATTGTCTCTTTCATTTTGGGTGAGCTTTGGTAGTTTGGTTTTCAAGATATCAGTACATTTCATCTAAATTGTGGAATTTATGTGCTTAGAGTTTTTAGTATTGCCTTATTACCATTTTAATCCCTGCGTGATCAGTAGTGATGTACCCTCTTTTATTTCTGATATTAGTGATTTGTGTCTTTTTTTCTCTTCTTGGTTCACCTGGCTAGAGGTTTAGCAATTTTGTTGTTCTTTTCAAAGAATCAAATTTGATTTCATTATTTTTTTCTGTACTTTTTATTTTTCTGAATTCTTTGATCACGACTCTTCGTTATTTCCTTGATTTTACTGCTTGGTTTATTTTTCTCTTCTTTTTCTAGATTCTTAAAATGAAAGATTAGGTTGTTGAGTTGAGATCTTTCTTCTCTTCTAATGTAAGCCTTTAATGCTACCAGTTGTCCTCTAAGCACTGCTTTAACTGCTTTAACACATTTTGGTATTTTATATTTTCATTTTTGTTCACCTCAAAATATTTTCTAATTTCCCTTGAGATTTCCTCTTTGACCCATGGATTATTTGGAATTACATTCCTTAATTTCTATGTGTTGGAAATTTTCCTACTATTTGTCTTCCATTGATTTCTGATTGAATTCTATGATTGGAGGATATGCTTTCAATTATGTTAAATTTGTTAAGGTTTGATTTGTGGTGCAGGATACGGCCTATCCTGGTGAATATCCTATGTATACTTGGAAATAGTGTTCTATTATTTACTTTTTAGAGTCTTCAAATAGTTGCTGCATGCGTTCTGCCTACGTTTATAGCTGCATTCATTGAGAAAGACAGGGTAGAGTGTGCTTACTTCATTTTACCCAGAATCAGAGCCTTCCATGTCACTTTACTGAAATTTTTGTTTACTAATAAATATTAGTTTCTGAAATATTCTGCACAACCATCCTCTTATGGTTCAAAAGACTGTAAATTACGTAAAAGATTGATGGGGAAAATAACTCTGATTTCATAATAAATGCTATCTCCTTTTCTGTAAAATGGGATAATTAACTTGTCCTATGTCTTTCAAAGGCTTGTCTGTCATATCTTAGGTGGGCATAGATGCAAGACCTGCTCAAACTTTATCAGTAAGTTAGAGAAGGGAAAAGGAAGGATCTGGATGGGGTTAGGACTCAAGGAAGTGATTTGGCTGCAAGGCTGACCTGGCATAGGGATGATCGTCTAGTGTTTGTGCCTTGGTGTTAATGGCCAAGTCTTCACTGGGCAGGTCATAGCAAAGATTGTCTCATCAACCAGGAATAAAGCAGTTAATAGCAGCTTCATGGTTACCAGAGGATTTTCCAGCTTGGAGCAAAACCTTACAGAGGGACAAAATGCAGGCTCCTGGTAAAGAGTGCTGATGAACACCAGGTTGACGGTCCAAGGCCCACCAGCCCAGGCTGGTGGGCTTCCAAGAGTGGCTGTTATCTGAGTGTGGAGCTGTATGTGGAATCAGGGGAATGAGGGAGAAATCTAGTCCTGTGGCCTGGTAAAATGCCGCTGTTCAGAAGGAAGGCTGAACCAATGGTAATTCAGAGATAACACCAGCTTTGGGGCAGCAAATCTAGTTTCAGCCTCTCACCTGCTGGCCCAGTGAGAGAATCCAGTAGTCAGGGCTGGCTCAGAGCTAAAGAGATACTGAAGCTTATTAAGCCTACAGAATGCAGACAAGGGAAGGGTTTATATGCAGGGGTAGATGTTAAGCACATATTAACAATCATCATTACCATTTTTGTTGATTACTTAGAACTAAGTCCGTATTTGAAACATTTTGCTAGAAGATATAAGCATCTAAGTTGTTATACTGGGAAACAGCTATGAAATATGAAAGAACTACTAATACCTAAAAGGGGAAGTATGAAAATGATCATATAGCAAGTAAAATGGATAATGTGGGAAAAGCTGACTGGAAATTTATTATGTGTGGGTTCCAATCATCTGAAGCAAGGGTAGAGTCTCCTAAACCCCATCACAATAATTTAAAGCTAAGTTGTAATTCAGACCGTGAGAAACCGTGCATTATTAGGCAGGTTCCTTTGAGCGTCTCCTTCTCTGAAAATACCCAGCCCCTTCCCCTCCAAAAAAACAAGAACCAGAAGTGTGTTACTAGTCACAATAATAAAATTCTGAGGCAGGATGCAAGACGATGTTAAATGAACCACTTTTCTCCAAGAGGTTTTAGACCAGCCAATCGCCTCCCACTAACCTTGGTACCTTTAGTCTGTCAAAATCAGCCTGCATATTCATTTTCTTTTTAGTCTGCTTTATTCTAATTCATCACAGGCAGGACTGGCCCTGGATTCGTGTTTGCACACGGGTTATCTTTATATTAGCCTTACCTGGATGACCTGACTCTTTGCTGCCTCCTACAGAATCCAGTTACTCATGGGAATATCAATTAAGGCCCTCAATCACACTAATTAGAACATCTTCTAAGTGTTACTTTAGAGATTCAGCAGCAGCGGCTTATAAACAGGCAAATTGGGAAAATCTAGAGGTGTGAGGTTTTTGCTTTTTTTTTTTTTTAACAGCCAAAAGCAATTTGGGAGGCTAGAGTGCTTTAGCTTAGCTGAATATTTGGGGCTGAAATTACTGTGCCCTGAATCTGCAGTAAAATATCTAGTTGCTCTCCGTTGACAAGGATTCATGCAGAATTATTAATTACTTTTATTAATGACTTGGATGTGGACCTAGGTGGCATGCTGATCAAATTTAGGGATGACACAAAGCTAGGAGGATAACAATTATTGTGATGACAGACTCCGGAGCCAAAATGATTTCAAGACAGAATTTAGTGGCAATCCATCCAATACATGCCTGGAGCAATGATCTCCATAAGGCACAACTTGATGATCATATCAGTCCTCTAATCGGAATCCTTCAGTGTTTCCCTATTTGCTATTTAAATTAAACCCCAATTCCTTAGCCTGCTATTCAAAGCCTTGCCGTATTCTGATCCTAATACTTCATACTTTCCAACAAAATCTCCTATAGTTCTTTTCCTAATACCCTGCGCTGGACCAAACTGAATTATTTATAAACTGTTCCTATGTATGTTTCATGCTTTCCCTATCTTTGAGTATTATTCTCCACTGAGTCTCTTTGCCCTACACTTTCTTTCTCCCTCAATTCTAAATTTCCAGACCAGTTCTTGCTCAGTTAAACTCTACCTTTTATGTTTAGTCTTCTTTGATTGCCTTGGCTGGAGTAATCTCTTTCTTTTGCTAATCTTCACTAACACTTATCTGTTCCTCTCTCTTTTTATCACTGTTTACTTTGTATTGTAGGGGTTTTTTGTACACATTTTAAGTCTGCTAGACTCTGCCTAGTGCTTCTGTCTGATAAATGTTTGCATATCCTACAGTACCCCTGCGTGTGATTGTTCATGGTTGATGATGTTGAAGTGGTTCGCATGTGGTTTATCTCCTCTGCTCGGGAGAATTGCCTTTAGAAGAAGCCCTACCTCTTGCTCTCCAGAGGCCCCTGCAATTATATCATAGTGACTTGTAAACAGAAAGTGTTCGCTACGTGTTTTATTGAATAAATGAATGATTGGAGGAGAGAAGAGTTCCCTAAGGTAATGGCATAGGAATCGGAAGGGAGTGATGATCGTAAGAAAAAGAAATTTAATCTGAGGTAAAATGATTGTTTAAGATATAGTAGACTCACCAGGAATTTGTGTACAATCATGCTAAAGAAGGAAACACAATATGAAGTAGAGATTTTTGTTAGTGTGTGGTCAAGAGAGGTGACAGGCATCGGAAACTCGCATTGTCCTGTAAAGTGATCACAGTCTGGATTGCTCAGACAGTACCAGTTTATACCTTTTGTTTCAGTGTAGCACTCTTAAAAGTGTCCCCTTTTAAATGCTATGATATTCTCACCCTATTTTTCAAATGCCTCTTTCATCTTTTTGAAATGGTCGTTCCCTGTGGTTGTAGAACTTGTGGCATGGGCTAATATTTGGGATAATATACCTGTAGTTAGCCAGATGTGGGTATAAATCTCATCTCTTTCATTTACTAGAAATATGATCTGGACAAGTGACCAAGATGTCCATAAGCACCCTTTTATGGCTGTTGTGTTCAAAACAGAAAGCAGAAGTCTTGAATATGGAATTTCTCAGAAATATCCATCTTTCAGTATTTGTAACCCTACAGAGGTTTTATCAGGGGCCAGATATGTCTAGGGTAGTAGGGAAAGAAATATTTCACAGAGTTGATAAATCTCCAGGCCTTCTTTATTAAAGATCACACAACTAAATGTAAGGGCATGGTTCTTGCTAGTTGGCTGTCTCAGCTAGTTGTCAACAGAAAGGCTAAAGATCATAGAAATTGGACTCCAGCCTCATCATTTGTCTCTTCCAGTGAGAAGAGGAGAGCAGGCACAGCAGGGCATGAGGTTTATGTATTTCCTCTTACTATAAATTCAGAGTGTGGCAGACTGCAGACCAAGTCTGAATCGAGGATTTCTAGACTTTCTGTGCATCACTAAGAAGAAAAAGTGCCTGGATCATAAAATATTTCCAATTGTGCATAGACTAAGGGAATTCAAAGAAGGGTAACAAGATCAAATTTATTTGTGAGAAATGTGACTCCTGGTAAAAAAAGTCCAGAGGACTTTTAAAGCAGACAGTTATATTCAATGATTAAAAGACATTTCTGGAGTCAGATTGCTGGAGTTTGATCATTACTAGTTTCTAGCCAAAAGATCTTGGTTATGTTATTTAAACTTGTCTCAGTTTTCTTAACTGTAATGTGGGTGTTTAAAAAAAACGCCTATCGCATTGGTTGGTCCTGGCAATTAGATTTGTTAATATTGTAAAACTCTTAGAACAGTTCCTACTCTATGGTCAGCATGCATATGCACTAATTATTATTTAAGGAATTGAGAGTAATAAGTAACCTCCCTTACCTTTGTACTTATGTTGACAGGATGGGACTTCTGTGGTGTGTAATGAGTCTCTACTTTTATGGGATCCTGCAAAGTCATGCCTCAGGTAAGTGAATGGCTTTTGACAGTCTATTAAAATGCAAGTCATGAATAGGGTAATGTGTCAACTCTTTCTGAAAATTAGTTAAGAAAACATAATGTTGTCTATTTCCACTGTCTTCTGTGGTAGCACAGAATCACACATATGAGAGAATCATAGAATTTTGGTGATGGGATGAGCCACTGATATCTCTGGTCTTTGTGGGACACAGTACACTTGAGGCAGTGGTCTGGTGTGTATAAATATAGGAATTTTCCCTCACTTTCACATCCAAGCCAACTAGAGCCCTCCTTCTTTCCCTTACCTCAGGTGGTATGGGAAAAGAAATGACAGTGATGGTAGACTGACTCTGTTTTCCAAATTTGAGCCAGTGGTAGACAGCCAGTGATAACACTCCATTAAGACCTTGTAAGAGCAAATAAATCATGATAGGTTTCTGTCTTACTCCCTCTACCTAGGAAAGAAAGTACCTGTCATTAAGTTCACTCTTTCTTTGGATTTTACTTCATAAGAGGAGCCAGCCAAAACCTTTACTGAGTTTGAATAACCGAACTCAGTCATCATGAACCTGATCATATGAAATCAGAATTACAAGGGATTTGAAAGTTCGTCTGTTCAGGTCTCCTCTCATCTCCAGAATTACTGCTCTGAATCATTTGATGGTAACTCTAACAAGCGACCATCGAGTGCAATCCGTTATGTCTTTGGACTGATCAGATTCTTAGAAACTTTTAGTACATATTCCTGAAATTTGTCTCTGTCATACCATACATTTCTTTGGTTCAGATTCTTTATTTAAATAGAATACACCTAATCTGATGGTTCTCTTAATTTTAATTCAGGAAACCTAGATATCTTCGTTTAAAAAAGCTTCTCATGTATAATTTTCCTGAAGACCTTGGCAGTACTTTGAATCTCATTGCTTTAATTCCTCTTCTGTGTGAGAGGCCTTCAGAAATGTTAGAATAGTGATCATATAACCTTGATGAGTGTTCTTCAATAGATGTCTTCAGGTATTCTTCACATGGCGTGGATTTGAGCCCTTACCATCCTGATATCTTATCTGGGTGTGTTTTAGTTTTTCTATGCCACTTAAAGCATTTTCTTGGAAGCCAAAAATAGCACAAAAGGAGGGGTAGAACTAGGAGAGAGTACCGCTCAAAGCTGAGAGAAGTACAGATAACTTTCCACCTTGTTGGCCCTTGGGGGCTTCAGAGAGGAAAGCTTGTATCGTAACCAGGGCTGATATTCAGCTGAGATACACTAGTAAACAGCTCTACTGCTTGTTTAGGCCAACATCTGTCTTGGCTGACTGAGTGTCCCATTTGACTGGTCAGTGCCATGATGTCCTGATTTTTAAACATGTTGAATATAACCCCTGATTATAATTAGTTCTTATTTGGTTTAGTTCTATGCTTGAATATTATCTGCTTATAGAGGGCTTCCCTAACCATCTTAACTAAAATAGCCCTGCCAGTCCCTCTCTATTCCTTTGTACTGCTTTAGTTTGTTGATAACACTCATCATTTCTCGACATAGTAACTCTTTCTCTTCTCTCCTCTTCCTTTTTTCTCCTTCCTTCCTCCTCCTTCTTCCTCTTTTTCCTCCCCCGACTCCTTGTGCTTTCTCCATTCTTTCTTTCTCTCTCTCTTTCCCTTCCTCCTCCTCTCTCTATTTCTCTGCTTTTAAGTTACCTGAGGATAGGGACTTGTCCTTTTTGTTTGTTAATAAACACTTGAAAGAATGATTGACGCATAGACATGTAGTAGGCACTCCATAGCTATATATTAAATGGATGAAAAAATGTCCCTTTGCATCCCTTTTTGCCAAAATGGACAGTTTTGTAATAGAACTTGCTGAGATTCATACCAGCAATCCATCAGTGTGGTCCTCACCTTGAAGGAAAAGGGAGAGGTGACTGTGTTACTTTTGCAGAGAGATCAGTGAAGTCTCAGAAGCCAGTGGATGCTGGTGCCTCCCCAGCAGTTCTAGTCGTGTTGCTTTTCTGAATGACCTTTTCTGTAATCCATCCAAGGAACCCCCTCAACCCACCCCAAATGCTGTTGGAAAGTGAGCTTTCTACCCAGGAACTGTGACTCATAATTCTGCCGGGGAAGCTGACTTCTTGAATGAGATGAGTTCTCATACCAGCCCCATTGAGTCACCATGGGAGCAGGAAACATGTTGTAATCCCCTCAGCCCATCTGGCACATATTCATTTGCCTTCTCTATGAAAAGGTATATTGTGTCTGTGTCAGTGATGTGCTTCCTAGTTGGAGGGAGAGGAACAAAAAGGAAGCATTGTTGACAAAAATAAAAGGGGCTACTGGCTCTGGACTACTAGGGGTAAAAAGGGATCATTGCACATCCTCTCCTGCAGAAAGGTATTGCCTCTTACAGCACTGTAGATGGCGGCAGACTTGTTGGTGGTTCATGAGGCTCCTGCTGTGCATCAGGTACTCATCTTACTGGAATCAAGATCAATGTGAGGACAAAGGAAAAATCACCTGAAAACCCTAAAGCACTGTACATACCTATGATATTAGTATGATTTTTGTCTTGTTCTGGGACCTTCCGTGTGGACCTTTCTCTTAAGGAACCATAGCAACATAAGACCTTTAGTTCCATGTGGTATAAACTGGACTTAAAGGCACACAATTCTGACTTGAGAACATAGTCCTTCTGGTAGCAGTACTGTGATTTCCTTCTTCACTCAGGAAGATGGGAGCCACAGTTTCATCTCAGGTGGTGATAAAAGCAAATAATCAAAAAACGGTATTTACTTTCTTTTAAGGAGTTAAAGCTTGGATAGTTATAATAGTGATAATGTAATTATAATGTGGAAGTTAAAGTGGTAATAATAAAGCTCTCTGCTGAGAAGGCACTTTGCATTTTGCATATTCGATGTCCTTTGATTCTCACACACAAACCATGGAGTAATCAGGCTGTAACTCTCCTTTTTGGATTAGAAAATTAAGATCAAAGTGATTAAGTGAATCACCCAAAGTCACAAAGCTGATACTTAGCATAACTGTGACTTCAACTAGTTCTTCAGTTCCCAAGATCCATTTTATTTTTACCAGATATACTCCTCTTGGACTCTACAAGCATATGAACAATTTAGAAAGAAGATTAAGATCCAAGGGGTCACAGGTTTAGCTAAATGCTAAAGAAACACTCAGTAATCGATTTCTTTGCTTTCTAGATAGGGAATATCTTTACTCCCCCCTCCTCCAAGATGTTTTCTTGAGGAAGAAAATCACTGTAATGTAAGCATAAAACTCAATATTCCCATTTTTGTTTGTTATAGTATTAAACACGACCAATACTAAACCCGAGGAAGTTCTCCTTTGCAAGAATTCCAAAAGCAAACTTCATCTCATCACACATTTTTCTCTTGATGTGTTGCACTGGCAGCGTGTTAGAAAGTTGAACTGTTAAAACTGCCTTTAGAGTAGAAATAAATATTTGGAACTTGTGATTTCAAGTTAGGGAGGTAGTAAAAATGGCACCACATTTAATATGGCAGATTTTAAAAATATTACCATATCAAAATTATTTACTACACAGACCACACAAAATGATAGCAATGCATTCCCAAAAAGGGGCACACACACACACACACACACACATCTTTGAATATTGCTTTGTATTTCAAAGTCAACAAATTGTTGACTCTGTGCCAGATGCGCAGCTAAATTTTACACACATTGTCATTAACTTCACAGGAAACATTGGCGGGGGAGGGTGCAGGAGATTCTTCCATCCATTTTATAGTTTAGGAAATGAAGAGCCAGGGAGGTGGCCTCAATTAACAGTGCTCGTGGTGACATGCCTGATAGAGCTGAATTTTGAAGGCTGCCTTGACTCCAAGAGCAGAGCTCTTCCCTTTATACCACATTACCTTCTTTTAGGATTTGGTTCTGCTAATGGAGGTAGGATCTCTTAATTTCTTTTCCATTATTTTAAGGAAATTTGCAGAGGATGGAAATAGTCTTTTGGCTTACTGAGAATGAATTATACTCTGCAAAATAAATAAGTAAAAACACTGTGGTTTACCAGGAATCAAGGGACATTAAGTTCTGACTATTCTACTTTGTGAGTTGTTTAATGATATTAAAAAAATCGTTTAATCACTTGGTATCACTGTGTCCTTACTTAGAAACCAAACCAACTAACCAACCAACCAACCAACCAACCAGAGCAAAACCCCAACCAATTCTACCTTCTTACTTTTTTATTAAAGAGCATTATAGGCATTATTGTATGTCATGGATATACACATCGTACTCTGTTCCTGTTATTCAATTAAGGAATTTCTAATGACAAGTGTTTATCTTACAATGATTTCACTTCATTCTAAAGATCATGTCTTTGGCCATTTTATATTTTAGAATTCAGGGTAAATAAGGAAAAGTTCTTGTTGTAAGCATCTTGCAGTAAAGTCTGGGAGAAAGAAGAGGAAATAAATACCAAATAGAATGCCATGAGAGGGTAGAGAAAGTTATCAGTCCTGTAGAGAGGTATTGGGGAAGACTTCTCAATCAAAGAACAACTGTTCTTTTGAAGGAGAAAATACGTCTCTTATTTGAGAACAGAATAGTGCAGTGCAACTGAAGGGATGGCATGAGGACATTTAGAAGCCAAGCTGGAAGGTAGGTTGGGAACAGATTGTGAAGGACAGCAATCCCTGCAGGTAAAGAGAATATTCTTGTTTAATGTATTGTAGATATAGTTGGCTTGTTCTTTTTTTTTTTAATTCTCTCTTATTCACTTCTGCCGGGACATATAATATTTTCAGTGCTATGTAATGGTTCTTTGAGCTTTTGGTAGAAATTCAATTTGTTGCTGCCCCCATGAGCTCATATTATTTGAATGTCCTTTATGAAAAACTCCATACTTGGATGTACTTGTGACATTCAGTCCTGTCTCTGTTGCTCATGGCTGGTCATCCTGAACACACTTCATTTCTGTGCAATTTAGTCCAAACATTTGGAGAGTGTCTG